TACCTAGATCGTTCTTATTGATGCTAAACCATCTGTGAGGAAACAAATCCTCCGTGAACTACATATCATGCATGAATGTAAATCACGATATATCGTGTCCTTCTATGGTGCCTACCTTGCGGATCCAAACATCTGTATTTGCATGGAGTTTATGGACAAAACTTCACTGGATGGAATCTACAAGAAAATAGGGCCAATCGACATCGAAATAGTAGGCCAAGTCGCGCTTGCTGTACTCGAAGGTTTAACGTATCTCTATGATGTCCATCGCATCATTCATCGCGGTGAGTAACGTTTAGCTCATTTCACAACTTCTCTCTCAATCTTCACTTTCCATAGACATTAAACCGTCAAATATGCTTTGCAATTCAAAGGGAGAGATTAAGATATGTGATTTTGGAGTATCTGGCGAGCTCATCAACTCGATCGCCGACACTTTTGTGGGCACTTCAACATATATGAGTGTACGAACTTCCTATCCCTCTGAGGAATATACCATCTACTAACAAATATCCAGCCGGAACGAATACAAGGTGCCCAATACACTGTCAAATCCGATGTATGGTCATTAGGCATCTCCCTCATCGAATTAGCCCTCGGACGTTTTCCCTTCGCCGACTCGGAGTCAGATGATTCTGACTTATCAGACTTTGAAGGAACTCTTTCACCTGCCCGGCCAGGTTCAATGGGATCTATAGCTGCCCTCTCACTCCCTCCCCGCCAAAAGCGCCCAAAAAGTGCCACCGCCAAAAAAGACAAACGGAAAAGCAAGGGTGTTAGCTTACAGGGGGGTGGGATGACGATGAGCATCTTGGAGTTACTCCAACATATCGTGAACGAACCTGCCCCAAAGCTTACTCCCGAAGGACGATTTCCCAAGGAAGCTGAATTCTTCGTCGATAGCTGCTTGCTGAAAGATCCTGACGCACGAAAAACTCCAAAGGAATTATTGGTGAGTATGTCTCTATATCACTAAAGTAATTGCTACATCGGTGTAACCTGCAGGACTACTCTTGGATCGAGCAGGCTAAAACATCGACAGTTGATGTTCAAGCATGGGCAAATTCCTTCGACTAAACTCACCTGGTAGTAGCTTAGACGCCCACCGAAATATTTGACGGATCGGTTCAGATTGCTATGTCCTCGTCCCACTGCGGAAGATACACCCTCTTAAACCTCTTAAGTGTTTTAAATTAGCTACACCTTGTATGATAGATCCAAAGGGACTGGAATACCCATTGCCATTTTCCATCAGTACTTAGTTTATGTAAGTTATGTGCAATTTTCACGCGTCGTAAAGCACGTGGTCTTGAATTCAAACGCGTTCCCGTCACGGTCTTCACGCCTTCCTTTGTTCCCTCCCTCTATGTACTGAGTCCTCTTTGATTAATTACTCCGTTACGCGTCGAGCTCGAGACATGTCCCGACAAACAAACACGAGGATATCGGAGCCCACTGAGGATCTGGATGTTAGCCTGCTGGAATCTGACCAGAGTTTAGAAACTAGGATAAATGATTGTCATCGGTGCGTGGTGTGACAAGGTTGATTCATCATCTCCTGACTTGGGAATCTAGAATAATGAGGACCAGTATGCAATGACCCCGCTTGATTCGTTATGCGGCTGAAATTAACTGTGGGCTAGCATTTGGCTATTCAGATTACAAGGGAAAACAGAAGGAGATTATTGAAAGTGCGGTCTCTGGTGGGTCGCGGGCAATAATTTAGCTACACCCAGAATCTCAAGTCTTCAAGGTCGGGATGTCTTCGTGTTAGCTCCAACTGGAATGGGAAAAGCACGTCTTGACTACCATTGGATGAACAGCACTCTGACAACATTCTGACAGAGCCTGTGTTTTCAAGTTCCAGCAGTCGCGGCCCAAGTACGATTTGCTTCGAGACGTCAACAAGGAATTTCCATTGACGACGCTTCCAGAGCGGCATGACTTTGGTCATTTCTCCGCTTTTAGGTACTAGTTGTCGATGTCAGTGCCACCTGAATGCTAACAAAGTATATATGGCTCAGCACTTATGGAAAATCGTGCGTACACAGAACTTTTAACCTACAGCTTCAGATGTTTATTTGAATCTGTTCTTAGAGACCGATGGGTTGCGCCGCAAAGGTGTCACCGTAGCTTCGCTATCATCAGAAACACCTGCAAATGAGAAAACAGAGGTCACTCAATTTTACTGTCGATTTATAGAGCCTCATTGGACGATTCTGTTAGATACATCAAGCCTTATCGACCGGAGACCCGCATTTCCGCCTCTTATACAGTAGGCCCTACTTACTTTCTGATGTCGAGACTTTCCGTAATGTAGTCCAGTCACACCTGAAAGGCTGGCTGTAGTGGAGTTCATGAAGCTCCTTCAAAAGGTCTACCATGCGAAAAAGGTCAACAGATTAGTCGTTGACGAGGTTCGTTCAGGAATCTTCCTTAGAAAGTCCATTGTCTGATCGATTGCATAGGCACATTGCATATCAGTGCGTCAAGCTGATATTCTAAGATAACTCATGCGTTTACCTTGGTACCTAGGAATGGGGACACGACTTCAGAGCTGATTATCGTCGAATAGGCAACTTTCGGGACAAATTTCCAGGTGTACCAATGATGGCTCTGACGGCAACAGCCACCTCAAGGTTTATGCCGACAGTCATGCATCAACTGCCACTGACCTTGATCTTCCTGAAGCGTCGTGAACGATATAATCTGCTCCTTGCGGATGAGAGATCCCCACCTCTTCATTCATCCGTTCAACCGAACCAATCTTTTTTATGAGGTTTGTTTTGTTGAAATTTTTTCACAAAGGTGTTGACGCGGTATAGGTTCGTTATGCTTCCACCGATGAATTGTCCAAGATGGCGGAAATATGCGACTACATATGCGGCCTTCATAGGAAGAGAGGCAAGGTCTCTTGCGGGATAATCTATTGTAGAGCGAAGAATACCTGCAATTCATTGTCTAGCTATCTCAGGTCGAAGGGATTGGCCGCTCGATCATATCATCGAGGTTTAGCGTAAGTTCTACTTTTGCTGTGAATTTCACAGCTCTTCATACCATGCAAGTACTGGTACCCTGGCAAAGACGTTCAAAGACTGGTCCATTTCAGGAGGTTCTGATAATGGCGGTATAGACGTGGCAAGTGCTGTCACTGCAGCAATCTTCATGACCTATGACTTCTGACAAACTGTTGAACAACATAGGTGGTCGCTACGATTGCATTTGGTCTGGGGATAGACAACGGCAACGTGCGATACATTATTCATTATGATATTCCAAAGAGTTTTGAAGGTGAATCATCACTTTTGACATGGTTGCAGCGGCTCATTCTCTATAGGTTATTATCAAGAGACTGGTATGTGATTTACTACACTTGCGACGTGAACAGTGGCTCACTTCTTGACATTTCAGGTCGAGCTGGTAGAAATGGTGCTGTAAGACCATCTACCTTTATGCAAATTGAGGATTGTTCCGACTCATGATCATATGTGTACAGCCATCGAAATGCATCCTCTACTATTGTAAAAGATGCTCTGTTGTTCCATGCCATAACTTTCCGAACTAATACAACCCTGGTAGCTCGCGAAGATCTTCGTTACGTTCAACGTTGGGTCACTGACGAGATCAGAAACCGAGTACAAAAGGCTCAGGATTTTCAATATCCCGATCCAAGCCAGAGGTCATTAACCAGTCTAGAAAAGGTGAGTAGTCGTACAAACTATTTATACGTAGTCTTGCTGACAATCCTACAGTTAGCTCTCTATGCAGAAAATACAGACGTCTGTCGCCACATTGTCAGATTGCATATTCACATGCACGCAAGCTCAGTGGCTGATTTGATTTTTTGCCAGTCTATATGTCGCTATTTCGGTGAAGAAATCGACGAGAAGGATGTCTTAGAATATTGCGACATGATGTGCGATGTATGTTCTTGATACTAGGCGCCGGCAAATCGTTCAACTGTATAACGTTCGGTTTTCAGGTGTGCAAATATCCTGAAAAAACAAGGCGGCGAAAGGAAATGTTGGGGGAAGCACCCGTAGAGTTCCGGTCTGTGCCCAGCCGCGCTGCTCATTCAACAGCGATGAATGGCCGCAAACGTCTCACTGATTCAAGCACCTCTAATGATTCTCCGCTCCCTTCGTCAACGACAGCCAAAAAGCTGAAGATAACGGGGTATAGTAAACCGCTAGGTCAGCTGCTCACATTGACATGCAGAAACTTACTATCTCAATGAGGTTTTCTAGTCACGAAGCCTCACCATTCTGCTGCTAGTTTATTGAAGCCTTTCAAGGCTCCTCTCATGAAAAGTCGGCGGTCTATCACACAGATTGCCCCACCACCGGAGAGAAATTCAACAGCACCTGGACCAGAACTTACAGATGAAGGAGGGCTCGATGAATCTGAGCTAACAACGTTACAAGACGTTGCTGTTTCGACAGTATCCGGGTTCATGTTACCAGAGATCGATATTGAGTTAGAGGAACCAGGTTCTGGGAAAATCCCTGTGAGTTTCCTCTGCTCTCACAAATGAGATTCCTGGACTTGACTTGGTCCTATAGTATGTCATGCGTCGCGATGGCATGGACTCGATAAGACAGACCTTACACGGGGTGTTCATGAGACATGAAGAACTCTGGGACCGAGTGAAGAAACCTCTCCACGTCTCCACACGGTCTGTCACATCGTAACTTGCTTCTCCTCGTTCTGCTAACTTGGACTTCCCATGTCAGTACAAATCTCATAGCATTGACTGCCATAGAGATTGAATTTGAGTCCATTCTCTGTTTCTCGAGCACGTCAGAAGGATATCAAGAGCGGCTCAGAAGTAAATTAGATGCACTGGGGTTGCTGAGGAGTGAAGAAGCTTGGATGGAGTGCACCGTAGGGCAAGAGGGTTATGAAGATGCTCACGAAGCGATCAAGATTCTCATCCGCCTTGCACATCCTACGTAGTTCGATGATTGGCAATTACCGACTGTTTGAAAATAAAAAGTAATGGGCCTGACCGGGAATTGAACCCGGGACCTCGTCGAAAGCTACATTCACTGCCCTAACAACGAATCATACTCCTAGACCATCAGGCCCCCTAGTTATGTATAGTCTTCCTGTAGGGCCTGAATGTGAACGTTAAATGCAGCGTCCTCCGATCGCGTACATACGAGGCGTCCGAGACGGAAAACGGAACAGTGAGATACAGCTGATTCCGAGAGTCGATGTAAGACTGAGTCGGGGACGAGTCGATACGAGTTCTTAGAACTTCTTACGTATGCGCTGATCGTGAAGACCGACAAACTTGAAAGTACTCTATACAGACGTGCATCAGGGCTTTGACTGGAACGAACTTGTCGTATGTAGAGAAAAGGAGAGAAAAACCTGCGACGGGAACGACCGTTGAAGGAGGCGTCAGAACAGGTTTACAGCGCCTACCATAAATCATGTCAAGCACCAGACTCCTTCCCATTCGCTATCGCAGCTGAAAAAATTATAATCCCAGTTACTTACCATAAATAGCTTATCTCATATCTAATCATATCATGTGACTATACCATGTCATCATATCTTATCTACGTTGAATTTGCTTAGCTATAGCAGCTAAAAAATTCAACGTAGATAAGATATGATCACATGGTATAGTCACATGATATGATTAGATATGAGATAAGCTATTTATGGTAAGTAACTGGGATTATAATTTTTTCAGCTGCGATAGCGAACTAGAAAAGCGCAGACTGCGTCTGCAAAACCCTTGCTTGACTGGAATTGAATCAAACTACAGTGAACATTCACAAAGATGACATAGATTATTGGCAAGGCAACCAAAAAGGCCATGAGGGCAGTGAGTCATGTAGTCTTCGTTGGAAAGACTGATGGTTTGCTGGAGATTGTTTCCGGCGGTGTCATTCAAGACTTTGGCATTACTAGTAGTACCCTTGACAAAAGGGAGTGAGAATCAGAGACTATTTTGAGATCAGAGAGCCAAGGAACTAACAATGTTTGTGTCAGATTCGGTACGCCGACGCGGTTCATAACGATGCCATGTGACTGTTAGGCGTTCTGAGTGTATGCGCTCCGGAGGGGACAGCACTTGCATTTGCTTCCGCAAGTACAGCCCGACGAGGGAGTTTCACGAACGGTTTCAGGGTATCGGACTCGAGTCATAAGTATTGTAAAATTTCCTCTATATATACGTACGAAAATTATTCGGAGTCCCCTCAGAACTTGTCGTTGTTCTGAGGGTACGTCCATTCACTTATTCTCATCTTAATCATTCCATACTTACAATGTCCTGTAGCTCTGTGTCTTACTTAGGTTACAGGTAAATGAGAACTTGTCGTTGTTCTGAGGCTCTGTGTCTTACTTAGGTTACAGCGAATCTTAACAGATTCGCAGTCAGAATCGCAAAAGAGACTGACCTAGACTGACACGCCTATTGCGTTGACCCAAAAATGTCGAATTCACTTCCAAATCTTATCTCCTTCCCGGAAGAACGTCAGCTTGCCGGAATTAGCAACTGGGCTGTTTTTCGTGATCATCTCAAAAGTGTAGCTCGGGCAACAGGACTCACTGGTTACTTGGATGGAACGATCGTCGCTCCTACAACTCCCACTGCTCCGACTACTACCACCGTGCATACGACTACGTCTGATGGTGCTCCTGGTTCGTTCACAGCAGCTCCTGCGGTACCTACTCCCACTCCTATAAACTCGCATAGCCCATCCATCGAGGAATGGGAATTACACGACGGTCGTCTTGCGGGTATCATCTATCAAAACATAAAGGATCCTCGCTCGATTGGAGTCACCGAAGAAATGTCCTCTCACAAGATGTGGACTCGCCTTATCAGCGAGTATGATACGTCCTCCGCCGCTGCTCAATCACTAGCGAAGGAACGAATCCAACAGTTCCGTTACACTCCTGGAACCCCCTTCGAGGAATACTTCAAACATTTGGAGGCACTCCGTAAAGCCGCGAGCGACGTAGGATGTACCATCGCCGATGATGATCTTCGTTCTCGGTTTCTCACCTCTCTCAATGCCGATTACCTTTGGGTTATCCAGAATCATGGATCTCGCACATACTCGGACCTCAAACGAGCTCTGGTCGAGTATGACATGATGGTTGAATCCGCGCTTCCTTCCTCCGCCAACACGACTGCTCCGAATGCCCTGGCTGTCCCATCCCGATCCAGCTCTGGTGGTGTCGTTTGCGATAACTGCAAACGGGTTGGTCATACCAAGAAGAATTGTTGGGCTAAAGGAGGTGGAAGCGAGGGGAAAGCCCCTAGATGGTACAACGCTCCTAAAGGCATGGAACCGTCTCCAAAACCTGTCACGGCTGCCTCGATCCAGGAGGAAGAACGCCAATTCGCTGCCGCTGCCACTGTGTACGACTTCAGCGACTATGACTTCGGAGGTATGGATAAGCTATCGTGTTGCCCAACTGCTCCTGACGCTCACTCGCATAGACTGGGAGAACAAGAAGCTTTTGCCCTTTTAAGCGATGAGCAGGGCAACACGAGTAGCATAGCTCCATCCTCTGTAGCTAGTAGTAGTCCGCCGAATTCGATCATAGATGTTCCAACTTTTATCGACAGTGGTGCTTCTCATTGGTGTATCCGTAATCGTCGTCGGTTCGTGACGTATACTCCTGTTAAGAGTGTTGGGCAGATGGCAGCCGAAGGTTCTTCTGGGTCGTTTGCCATTGAGGGTCACGGTATTGCAGAGATTACAGTGAAGAATGACGATGGATCTATCCACAAACTCCGCTTCCATGCCTCCCATACTCCAAGTTTTGCGATGAATCTCCTCTCCCTACCCAGCATGGACAAAAAGGGTTTGAAAGGCGAGTGGGGCAGTGGACGAATTGATGTGCGCGATCCGAAATCTGGGAAGGTGATTGTGAATGGTCGAATCGCTGGGAAACGTGGCGGACATGGTCTATATCAAGTTGAAGTCGTCGACGATTTGGATCGTCTCCAACCTGCGTATGTTTCTTCGTTGGGAACCCCCGATTCAACTTATGTCCTTGCCTCTTCGGGTCGATCGCGTTCGAAGCCTTGTTCTCTCGAGATGTGGCATAACCGGTTTGGGCATGCCGATGTAAACACGATCCGTCTAATGGCTAAGCGGAATATGGTGGATGGTTTAGAGGTATCGGACTTCTCGTTGTGTGGGAAGTGTGAAGTGTGCATATATGCAAAAGCGAAACGACATCCATTTGATGAGGTTGTGATCCCAGCATCAGAACCTCTGGACCGAGTTAGTCTTGACTTGTGGGGTCGTGCTCGTACGAGGAGTTTAGGGGGAGCCTACTATATGCTATTAGCATGCGATGATGGCACCGGAATTCCATTTTCTTACTTCTCTGCCAACAAGGATGCCGAGTCAATTCTAAAGCTTGTTCAAGAGTTTGTTGCTATGGCTGAACGTCAAACGGGACGGCGCGTGCGCGTGTTTCGTATAGATCTGGGTCGAGAATTTGACAACAAGCTTTTCGATGCATGGTGTGCTGAGAGAGGAATTCTGGTTGAGAAGGTTCCCAAGGCTTCGTCAGCAGCTAATGGACAGGTCGAGCGAGCAAATCTCACCATCATATCTGGAGTGCGAGCCATGATCGAAGACTCTGATCTTGACCACCGTTTCTGGGCTGAGGCCGGTGCGGCATACAGCTACATACGTGGTATGATCCCTACAAGCAGACATCCTGGGGTTATTCCATGGGAGAAGTGGTTCGAATCAAGGGGTCTTAAAGTGAATGTGTCCCATCTCCGACGTTGGGGGTGCAAAGTTTGGGTGACAGATTTGGATCACATCGAAGGTAAACTGGGTAGGCAGGCATGGGAAGGAAGAATGGTTGGTTACGTTGGGCGTAGAGGGTATCGTATCTGGGATCCCAGACGTCGAGGCGTATATCCGGTTCGAGATGTGGAGTTTGAAGAGGGAGTCCCTAGACGTACTCTTCAGGATCCCTCGGTTGTCTCGGCAGGACCTGATCTCGACGTCGAAACGGATCAAGCGGCTCGCTCCGAGGGTCTCCCCGAATCTTCAGTAAACTCCGAAAATCTAACTCGGGCGACTGGTTCTGAGCCCACATCCTTGGATCCGACTACGACTCAACCCCAATCCATGCCCAATCCAGATCCTCCATCTGTTCCACCTAATCCACCTAATCCTGGGCCTTCTTCTCTTCGTCGTTCTACTCGTCTTCGTAACCCCTCGGCTCGTCTTCTTCAGTCCATGGAACACGAGCAAGATGTTCAACGTGCACAAGCAGAGGCTGAGGAATGGGCCAACATTGTCGTCCTTGCCAGCACCATCAAAGGGGGAGGGGATATAGCTATTCCAAAATCTTATGCCGATGCAATGAGGGCCCCGAACGATTGGCATCCTCCCATGCAGAAGGAGATCAAATCTCTTAGGGACCGCGGTTGTTGGACCTTGGTGGACAGACCAGAGAATACCCGTATATTGAACGGGATGTGGGTATACGATCTGAAAGTTGATGGTGATGGAGTAGTTCTCAAGCGAAAGGCTCGGTACGTTGCTAGAGGAGACATGCAGGTTCCTGGCGTGGATTTCGAGAAGAGTTGGTCCATGGTCGCAAGGTCTGAATCCGTTCGTCTCCTCATCGCTGTCTGCGCCTTCAAACGGTTACAAACGCGACAATGGGATTTCTCCTCCGCCTATCTCAACGGATCGTTGCCCAAGGATCCACCTGTGTTCATGTACCAGCCCACTGGGTTTGCCGTTCAGGGGGAGGAAGACAAAGTGTGTCTTATGCATAAACCACTCTACGGCATGTCTCAAGCTGGTCATATTTGGTACAAGGAGCTTGAAGGGCAGTTTCAGAAGTTGGGCTTCAAATCCTCGCGCGCTGATCCATGTATACGCTATCGTCGGAATCCCGAGACGAACGAATTCTCTATTGCCTCGGTTCACACAGACGATGTTTTCTGTGGGTCATCGTCGCCTCACGAAGCTGACGCTGCGGTCAAGGGCTTCGAAGTTTGGGACCTCTCCGACGTCAAAGACAAGAATTTTCTCGTGGGTCTAACTATCGAACATCGTACAGACGGGTCCATTGC